TTAGAGGTAATTTTTAAAAAACATATGCATAGTATTGTAAATTTTTACAGGCATTTCTCGAGTAAAAAGCAGAACTAGACTTTTTCAATGGGGTTACAGGAATAAATTTTAAAATGTTTTAAGTAGTAGCGCTCTTAAAAATGTTTATAAATTTTAAGCGGATACTTATTTGAAGACATTCTTTTCCAATGAAAGGTCAGAACTTAGCAATTTGAGACTATTAAATTAAGAAGCATTTATGTAGCAAGCTCTTTATATTTTATGTTAGGATAACTGATTATGGCAAACACATGAGGATATTGCCTTAGTGTAGGGCTTTCTAGAAGAAAGTGATTGGTATTCCAGTGGGGGGGGGGGGGGGGGGGGGGGGGGGGGGGGGGGGGGGGGGGGGGGGGGGGGGGTTTGTCAGTGTCGAACTATATATATTCAGAAATCTTATCCGCTTGGCGACAATTAAAACTTTATATTTCACACCACATATTATTAGAATTTTATGTTCTGTTTATAATTCCCGTTCGTAGGGATGTGAACACGCTTTGAACTAATATTTATGAGTTTTATCCGCTTAGCGACAGGTCAATTTTTGTATTTCACACCACTTATTATCCGAATTTTACGTTTTGCTTATAAACTTCATAAAAATTTGTATAAACCGTAAGTAGACAAATTTGTTCAAAATAAAATAAGCTGCAATTGCAACATGTTTTTTAAATAAAAAGTAAAATATATTCACTTTTGATTTCTATAGGAAGTATACTGCTTCTCCCTCATTATTTGGATTAATTGACTCAACCACTAGAGCTTGCATACTGGAATCGAGTTCATTGTCTAAACAGATACTAATTTTTTTAAATGTACTCGAGGCTAGAAGAAGTCATTGTACACAAATATATTCTGCAAATGAGAAGTGATTGCTTGATGATATTTTTGGCTAGTTCTGCAAAAACGACAACAGAAGATTATTCTGTTTGAAAGCCAGTCATATGGAAGTATCACGTAATATATTAGCTAGCTAATCATACTCTAAATACTATATTGCACGCATATAAGTTGCACCCTAAAAAAGAAAATATCGTAATCATTTACTGGCAGATTTAAGGAAATATAATTACCGGTAGATAAAGAGGTAGATATTAGTATTTTATTTTATCAAAACACTGAAAATACATAATAGTGTTACTAATTTTAAACATACGTAATAATTTAACTGAAATTATATGTGAAATAGTAGTATTTTGTGGGTACAATGTAACATGAAAAATCTAAACAAGAGAATCTTTGTCGGAATATTAAGACTACAGGCGCACGTCTATTTAACATTGAGCAAATGGCTGTCTCGTTAAATTGGGAAGATATCGCCAAGCTGGCGACGATTTTGGCGACTAATTCAGTCATCAAATTTGGCGGCCAAAAGTTGCCAAACTTGGCGACATTTTTATCCGGTTCATGTATAACTGTAATTGGCATTTATATTGAATACATGTAATTAATCTAGATATGTAGCTGCAACCGTATCCGGCCGTCCGATAATTTTGACAAGTGGAGGCTACTAGAAATCTCTCGGTGGTCGGGAGGAAACTATATAAGACCGGGGACAGCATCAGTTTATAAGTAGAAAGATTATTTACTTCAGCGTGAGTTCGGAGCATTGAGATATCTCCATATAAGCTTCGCTTTTTAGACGCGCTCTGCTTTGCATTGGGTTTAACGCTCTTAGCAATTTGAAGTGTAACTACTGATTGTACTCTGTGATACTGAGAGGAACTGTATGAGTACTTTTGCGGAAAGTTTCAGAACTGGTGAAGTATTTATTTCTTCTGGGATTAGGATTATTCAATTACGGTAAAGTACACGAGGGCTATCTGCCTAAAGGAACGGATGCCTTCGTGGTGGGCTTTCTAAGGGAACTGCCTCGTATACACGTCACACATGGAGAAAACCACGAAAACGCCCATGCAGCCAGCCCGTTCGCGGGATTCGAACCTCCGACCGAAATACCAGTGTTCAGCCGCTTCACCGTTCGGCCGCTGGTGTGTCCTTTATTTCTCCTGGAAAATAAATTTTAGTAAGCTATCATCAATTACTTGAGCATTCAAGCTATTATGAATCGTACTCACGCAACGATAGTATTATAATCGAAGAGTCTAGGTTACAATTAGGTGCTTTGGTAACTTTCTGTTAACTGTCGGCACTCATTCCATTAGATTGGTCAAGTTCATATTTCCTTCCGGCGTCTCTTTTTGCTTGTGACATTAGCGACCGAACAAACTACAAGTCTGAAACTTGAATCATAACTACACCTTATTCTTAGGTTTGATGATGCTTTTTTTCTCTGCACGATGTTTTATATTGGCAACAAACCAGTAAATCCGTAGAAGTGAATAGCTCAAATCTAAGAAATAAAATCAAATTAAATGCGTTGACAATACGTTTCGACAATGTTGTTGCAATGTCATTATCTCAGAATGAGAAATCGGCATCTGAATGTGATTACTTGCGTACGCGTCCATTAATTGACTGAACGCAAAGAACCGATGATAGCTTCATAAAATTATTTCACTAAAAGAAACACTTCACAGTTCTGGAACTTCCCACAAAAACACTCTTACAACTCTTCTCACCATCATACAGACCAATCAGTAGTTACAGCTCAAACTGCCAAGAATTTTAAACATAATCAAAAATACATCTAAAGAGCGAAGCTCACACCGAAATATCTCAATATCCTCGAAGTCGACTCTGTAGTGAAAAAGTGAGAAACTGATTTATACAGTCCCCCCCCCGGGCGCTGAAAAATCTCTAGTACCTTCTACTTCTCAAAATTGCTGGAAGGCATATGAGGATTAGATATTGTTACAGTTACACTTAGGGGATAAATTACGATTATCGAATTCCAATACCAGTTAGTTACACAGGACTACAAAAAAATGTCGCCAAAAGGTCGCAAAGTGATTTTGGCGACGTTTGTCGAGTTCTCCCTAAATTTTGCGACAAAAATTAATCGCCAAAGCCATCAAAAGGTTGACGATGTCCCGCAAGTCTACAGAGATAGCCTTCGTTACTTCATGCCACATTATACAAAAAATGTTACAATTTCTCATATAATTTCACTAAAATTATTTACCTACGTACAAAATTCGTAATAATAATTATTTTTGTAAAGTCGCAAATATAAGAGGCGTCTTTATTTTTCACAATTAAGGACAAAATATGCGGTTTATATCATGCGGCCAATCAGTAATTTAAGGCTTCTTCAGTTTCTTTATAATAAATGTGAATATTAAAATTAATTAGTGTGCAGGCAAGACTCCACATTTATTCAGCGTCAAGTGTGTTAACTTCAACCGCCGAATGACTAAACGAAATTGACGGCTACAAGCGGTTTCTCTTTCTTCTGCTGCTGGGGTCCGAAGGTGTAATACGGCTCTCTGGCTGTCCTGACCACGGCTGATGCGTGTGCCATTTTTTTCTTCTTTCTTCTCGGTTTTTGACTGCCATCTCCGTTGCTGGATGTACAGCCATGGTATTCTAGTGAAAAAGACTGGAATATAAAATTCAACTAAATAGATCCATATACATAGCAACTTCCGAAAATTAATAATGTTCTACAATTTAAAGACTTCGAGAAGTTTTCTTGTGCACATGCTTGATCTTTCCGGATGATTTAACAATTCGCCTTCTTCAAAAATATATTAGTATAGCAAGCTAACTCAACTTCTGCCGTTAAATTTTGTTTTTTCTCACCGAGACTTTGCTTTACGTTGATGGAATGAGATCTACTTTGATTGGAATACAACGCACAACTCGTACGAGAGGTTCGGATTTAAATTGTAGGACTGATATTCTTCTGTCTGGCGGATAATTGCTTACTTTACGCTAGTACTCATTCAAAATTTAATGATGTCAAGATATAATAAATATTACTTGATTTGTATTATTTGAATTGTCATCTTTGGGGGTAAGTTATTTTAATTTCATATTCTCTTTTAGATCATACATTTCGATCTGCACGTTTGTAAGTATTTATGGGTTATTGTGCCACAACGCGATCTACCATAGATTTTACATTTATTAATCTTTGATTCACGCCACCCATCACACACTTTATTCTTACAATTAGCAAAACAAATTTCAGTTTAAGAAATAATTTATGAGTTTGACTGTTGACTCTAGGACACTTAGATGCCTATGGATCAAAGTTGTGTTTGTTTAGAGTAATTATTAAACTCCTCAGTTTATGAAATATTTATTTGTTTTCAGATGTCTAGATTTAAATTAATTAGAAGTTTGTACGAAAGCTTGCTCGAAATGCTGGAAAGAAATTGTAACCGTTAGTTTGGAGTCAAACCTAATCCGGTCCTTTTGAATGCATTTTGCAAACCCTTTGGGAAAGAAGAGTCCTTTATTCTGTCCATAAATCCAAATGTCTTGCAAAACATTCGTACAAATGGATTCGAGAACGGTCAAAGTGCTTATTTTCGTTGAAATCCGATTCCCGAAGTTTTTCGCGATTAAAAAACTTCCTTTACTTCGTACAAGGAAGTAAAAATTTAAACTACAAAAAAAAAAAAAAAACACTTGTTAAACTGTTATTCTATTTTGTCCAACAGCTCATCTTTCCAGTCCAGGACTCTTCTGCAGTCTGTTTGCATATATCGGCTATCATTTGATTAGAAATTTTTCTCAGGTCTTGATATTTCATTTCACCGTAAAAACAAACAGGCAGTTAACTTAAATCGGACCAATTACGTTTTGTTATACATATACCTCAACGATGGGTTCATCTGCTTATCTCTAATTTTCATGACATTCATATTACAAAATAACTACACATTTATGAAAATTAAGTCATGCGTAAAACCTTTACAATATAGTTCGCTTGCTAAGTGTACATAATGTAATGCATAAAATATTCCTACGACAGTAGATTAGTGTTATTTTACTTATAACAATAAATGGCCATGGTGCATTATTTATTGAAATAAACAAAAGGAATATACCTCTTCCACACAAAACCTCCTTCGAAACAAAATTTTCCCTCTATGACTCCAAACCGTCTAAGTTCCTTTATTGGCCACGTACCCAGTAATCGCGGAGGAACACCAGAAACTAGACAGAAGGTGTGATCTTGCAGATGCAAACGAGCTGGCCCGCAAGGCAGTTTACTTTTTGCTGGAACATGAGCTATCTGCACTAGAAACTGTTGTTCTGAAAAAGAAAGTGCATAATTAAATTATATGACATTTTACGGACTTTAACGATATTGTAACATCTGAAACATGTTTTTATATTTATTTAGGATTAAGAATTTTAATGTATTGATTTCAAATTTAAGTTTGTAGTTAAAAGAGGGGTCATTTCAAATATAATGTATGCATCGTTCAATTAAAATAACAAAATTCAATAAGTTAATACATACAATGTATAACTATTGAAAATATTAAATAGGGAAGATTTATATGAAACTCAAGAAGAAAAACCAAAGAAAAAACGAAATCGCTTCTTCGGTTAATGTATTTGATAGGAAATAATGATAATTAGTTGTACGTTCATTATAAATTATTAAATTAGATATCTGTGCTTTGTCCTCGAATTCTATTTCAATATTATTACTGTTACTGCAATGTTTTATTATTCGTTTTGCATTACGTACCTCATTTTTAAAACGCTTAAAAATCGAAATTTAAAAGTTTGTAAAATTTAATTTTTAATTTTTGTGACTGATGCGAACATCATATGCAATTCATCTGCACCAATGTTGAAAATTAAGAGAATGTTCATGTTTCGTTGATTATGTACAGAAATATTGAATAAATTCTAATAAAATTCAGTACGGATAAAGGTTGACATAATAAAAACATATATACCTTACAGAAGTCATGGTACAGATGCTCGATTTCTCAAAGCTTTTAGAGAGAGAATAGAAAAACGAATAAAGAAAAGGAGTAAAAGGGGTATAATTCTAATAGTCATATATTCTTATATGCAACTTGATATTTGGGAAAAAAGTAGTTTATAAGTCCTTGTGGCAGTTGTTCTTCCACTTCAGCATCAATGCTATTGTAACAGCTTTAATATCGTTATTAATCTTTCGTGCATTTGAAATAGATGAATAATAAATAATGTACAGATTACTGGCAATATTGAAATGCAGGCTCGAGAGCTGCATTCTTTTTCTCGCACGAAGCATGTAATTATTTTTTTTTAAAATAAGTTTATAGAATATGTTTTCTCTTCTTGCTTGTATGTCGCCATTTTTTTGAGTGTTAAATAAAAGTTATTGCTGTGTTCCATCATTGGAGTTGCTTCATTTCGCCAAAATTATCACAAACAGGAGATCGCGAGTTCGTATCTCGCCGGTGCCTCCAAAATAATTATGACCGTGATACTTCTTTGGCGAAATGAAGCAACTCCAATGATGGAACACAGCAATAACTTTTATTTAACACTAAAAAAAATGGCGACATACAAACAAGAAGAGAAAACATATTCTATAAACTTATTAAAAAAAATAATTACATGCTTCGTGTGAGAAAATGAATGCAGCTCTCGAGCCTGCATTTCAATATTGGCAGTAATCTGTACATTATTTATTATTCATCTATTTCAAATGCACGAGAGATTAATAACGATATTAAAGCTGTTACACTATTTTTAGACCCTGCATGTTTCAGGATGAGCGAGGAAGGCAAGCTCCATTTGCATTTTCAAGAGCGTCCAGGCGTGCAGGATTCATGTTTGAAGAAACAGTTGGCCATTCTGACTGGTGGACGAGGATTGCCATCAATAAAAATGAATTAAACATAAACTCCAACTATGTAAAGGCGAATGTCGTGCTCTATGAACTCTACCTGTATCTCGCAGCAGTCACAAAGTCTGTCAAATATGTGAAGGTCTGTGCGTATCTCGAACTTCATGCCTAACCAGACCATCAAACCGCGATGCAATGGAGCTCGCTTTCCTCACTCTACCTAAAATCTGCCTGACCATGGTCAGTTGCTGTTGAAGTGGAACAACTGCCACAGAGACTCAAACTACTTTTTTCAAATATGAAATCACATATAAGAATATATGATTGTTGGATGGATCTTACCACCTTTCTTGGATACTAGATAGCATGTTACGCGTATCTGGTATTCTTCAGATGATGATGATGAAAGTACTTCGAGAATCAGTGGCTAAGCTGTGAAAGTGTGAATCAGCACTCATCTGTGAAGGGAATAATTACCACTGATGCTTGTTCCAAAATCGATATTCTATGCACGATACTAGATGACGCTTTTCTGCTCATTAGCGGGATGTTAACAGTAGGTCTTCTGGTAAACATATCTCTCTTACGCAGCCTTTTAAAAACAACATGCTTTAGAACTCGGCTTTCTGTGGCCACATGGAGAAAGCTGAGAAGCCTATGCCCTCCTGTTACGCCTCACTGAAGTGGACCATAACGATCTGACTGGAATGAAAGACCATGGTCAGGCTTTCTTGCTACGGATCTGGTATCCTTAAACTGATCCCTGAGTTGAACATGACTTTGGGGGCTACATTTGTAGCCTCTAGGATCTGAACTTGCAACTGCCTGCTTCCAATCTCCTGAGGAATTCGCCCTCTTATTCTTATCCTAGACATGTCGCTAGTTACTCATTTTAACTGTTTGAATTGAATTTCACGCAAAATTGTAAAATAACACGACGAAAGAGGCTTAAGAAGAAGAGCGGATGAATGGTACTTTTTGCAAATACTCTGCTATACTCTGTATGTGTACGCTTGCGTACTCGACTTTAAATATTCACATTTTTTTGGAAACATAACTTGCATTTTCCGTTCGTATTTTTCAAACAAAAATCTCAAATACATGAAATTTCTCTTAATTTTAAACATTAATGTAGACGAAAATAACTAACTGAACATTAGGCACTGTATTAAGGTTCAGTTAATATGTATCCATTTAATAATCTGTGACAAATAACTAGAGCTTAATGGCTTCAAAATATTGCAAAGTTGACGCCTTTCATTTAGATTTTTTTTTCTTAACTTCATAAGATAAAGCATAGAAAAAAAGGTCTATATGACTATGGTAAGCGATATGGAGGACTTTTTAAGGAAACCTGGGACGTATTAACGTCATACAATGAGATAATTACAGAAACCTACTTGCAGCCAATCTGATCGTTGGACTTCGTTCCGGTTTCTTAATCATGGAATATAATAGGATGGTTAATCGAATTTACTCTTTCTTCATCCAGTGCATTACAATCTAACGAATTAAAAATGTATTTTTGATATCTCCAAATATTGTAATAAAAAAAGAAATAGAAATAATTAAAGAATACATTGTTATTTTTCACAAGGAAATAAATTAAGGAAAATATCGATAAATAAAGGAAAATACTGATTTAATAATAAAGGAAAATACTATTTAATAATAAAGGAAATAAATAAAGGAAAATACTGATTTAGAGTTAAACATGATGAAATCAAAAATAAATAAAAATTAGAGCTTCTATAATCTCAAATGAAAAATAAATAAAATATTTTAAAACAAAATCTGTCATCACAATTATTTGGTTATTACCTACCACTTAACAGTATTCACAAAACTTGTAAATGATTAATTTCGATCCATAATGATCAATTATTATCCGTAATGATCAATTACTCAGTTATGGAAAGATATGCGAGGGCTGTCTGTCCGAGGGCTTTAATGGAAGACTTGTTAAGACAATTTTGTTTGGATACGACAATGCACACAAGAGTTAAATCCTAAGGGAGAGATGCCTTTGCGAAGGACCTTCTAAGGAAAGCCGGCTCGTGTTTATGTTAGGAAAAGCTATAAAAACACTTGTATATTGAGCCCTTTCGCCGGGAGTGAACTATTCTGTCACTAGCGTAGCCCTTCCGAATGTACACTGGCTCAAATTTCACAGAAAGGGGACGCAAATTAACCTCTAGATAACCTTCGAGTGTCGATATTGTCACAAACCATATTCATTTCATAACTTTAACCAACTGACCATTGATTTACAACAAAAATTTTTTGTAACATTGAAAGAAAATTTCTCTTAACTTATATGTATTTTTAGGTGTATGGAGCATTTTGTTAAAATGCAATAGATAATAAAATATTCTAACAGACGGTGGTAAATGATTAACTGGAAATGAATCAGAGAAATGGTAACCGAGTTGTGCAACGGGTTTGCTGAAAATATCATTAATCAAGTAACTTAAGCCTATGTGCCTAATTTTAATCGTACTTTAAAATTATCAAACATATTTGTGTACAGTTTTGTGCTAGGGATTGCTGTAGGGACCCTTATATATGTATTATTTCCTCTCCGCCTACGCAGCGAAACCTGGAAAATCTTTCTCAAAGGACATCGAAAGAAATTAAAACGCTTAAGGATAATGAGATACATTTCTAATGCCTTAGACACCCCGTGACTTACGTACAGTTAATATAAACAAACAATGCAGATGGCCTCAGAGCTCACGTGACTTATGTATAGCTAAAGTAAACAAAGAGTGCAGTTGACCACAGAGATCACGTGACGAATGTATTGCTAATGTTAAAAAACTGTGTAGATGACTACGGAGATCACGTGAATTACGTATAACTAATGTAAACAAAGAAGGTCATTCTTTCTTTTCTTCCCATGCGTAATGTATCTCATACCATAAAATACCAGTTAGACTGAACAGATTAAGCAATCAATACTGAATAATTTCCGTACGAAATATTTAGCATTGGTGTGCAACCAGCATTACTTAACATAGTATAAATATTGGATGTTTTAGGAGTCAGAACTTGTGTTAGCTATTGAGATAAAAATGCCTCAAGAGTACACTAAATGAAGTTTATACAGAAGACTATTATCATATCCGGCTACTATTCTTCATACAGGTGTATGTATACAATTTACTGCACCTGCATACAATACTGAACTTTATTTATAGAATTATCCTAAAATTCGCAATAAAAGTATAAAACTTAATGCAATTCTCATTCATTAGTGAAAGAAATGAATTCAGAAAATTACTCATTAAAAAATCTGGTAGCTACTGCCTTACAATACAAACTAGTCTCAGAGGCTCAGAATGATTACATCTAAAGTTCTTTCTGGAAAGGTAATGGTCCAGATGAGACCACAGTACAGATAAAATCGTGTATTTACGTAGAACTTAAGATTTATTGCGATGCAACGTTAATTACA